CTTAGGTTTTTGGAAAAGAGCCCACTCTCTAATCCCAAAACACTTAGAGTCATAGTCTTGAATCAACGAGTGGTTTGTGGTGTGATCGTGTTCATAAATCAACGGTCTTGTTTCACGGCAATTCTCCATCTCGGAACGTGAGATAGTGAGACAAGATCCTTGCGGCCATATTTGATCCGATCGTCTTAAAGGTATGATTGTCATTTTATTCCTTTATCTATAAACATATATCATGCATGTATCTCTCGTTGTGATTTACGTTTAATTTGGAATTAAAAGAGATGTGAAAATTTTTTGAAATTTCCGCCTACAAGTTTGTTGTTGTTTAAATGATTTTTCACTTAAAAATCACAATTTGATCCGACAAATGATTCTATCTTTGTGGTTGTAGACCGATTTTCTAAAATGGCTCATTTTATCCCTTGCCACAAAACTGACGATGCTTCTCATGTGGCAGAATTATTCTTTAGGGAGATTGTAAGGTTACATGGTATGGCTAGGACAATCGTGTCGGATCGGGATGGTAGGTTCTTAAGTTACTTTTGGAAGACGTTATGGGGAAAGCTTGGAACGAAACTTTTGTTTTCTACTACTTGTCATCCTCAAATAGATGGTCAAACAGAAGTAGTTAATAGGACCTTATCCACTTTGTTAAGGGCTGTCATTTGTAAAAATATTAAGCAACGGGTCGCGGTTTCCATCAATTCTTGAAGATCTTGGATCGTATCCCATATTTGGCTACGGATTTCGTCACATTGTTGGCGGGGTTCGAATCAGGTAGGACCCAAGTCCGCTGTGAGATTCTTCTTCGGGAAGCTCCACCGCCGTGCCGCCACTACCGGTGGCCGGATTTCGGTGAAGCTTCGTTTCTCAGCTTTCTGACTTCCGATTGATAATCCGGGATCCGTTTTGAGGTAGGGGTCCTATTACTTAACTTTTGTGGAATTGTATTTAATTTAATTAACTTGTTAAATATGGGGAGAATGAAATTGGACATTAAACTTCTTTATTACTGTTATACGATATGACTTGAACAAAGCCATTAGAGGGCCCGTCCTGTATTGTACAGTGTGGCCAAGAAATTTGACATACGTTTGTAATCTGACACAAAAGCATGGTTAGGAGAATGTAAACCGGACACGATAGTGAGATAGTGTGCTAACAGTAGGTGTGGCCGTTCACCATCCTTGGGTGTGGACCCAAAAAGGTAAAAGAGTGGAGAGGTGATTACGCTCTCTGGGGTTGAGAATCCCCAAGGTTACTGTACAGTGGTTGCGTCTTGGTGAGGGCTCGGAATGACAATTCACCCTTACCCGTGGTTCGAGAACTGATCTGGTAGGGACCCTGAGATAGAGCTCCTTGCTATCAGTGCCTCTGAATCACCACGCCCTTTAGGGGTTTTTTCATCACGAGCGTACGGATTGGATTATCTCACTGACACTGATCATCTGACTCATTATACATAAAACATAAAAACTACTAACCATGCAGGTTTAATCCAGAAAAATAAGTAAAACTAAAGGTGAGTAATAGTCCTCCTACTGAGCATTCCATGCTCACCCCTTTTCTCTTCCCATTCTCAGGCGGTGTACAATGTAATCTTTCAGACGAAGAGTAGACGTCTCACAGTGCGCACGTGTTGGAGACCTATCCCTTCTTTTGGTCTTCTTCTTCCATTATGTAAGATTCTGAACTGGTTTGTTTCGACAGGGATGTACTGATGATGGTTGTATTATTTAAGTATTTTACTTGGTGTTACATTGTACTGGGAATTCTGGTTTTATTTTCTTTGTCGATTTGTGATTTCTAATTATGAGTTTTTCATTGAAAGTCCCACGGGCACTTGTCATTTATATTTTGAGAGTTATATTTTATTTTTATTTTCGTTTGTCCCTCGTATTTTATTCTTATTGCATAACCCCCACCTAGGGGTGTTACAGATTTTGGTATCAGAGCCTAGGTTGGGAAACCTAGGGAGTGTAGCACCATTTTACACGGTCTTATTTGGGTTTTACCTTTTGTGTATGTAAATCATCATCAGTACTAACCCTGTCAAATTCTCACAATCAAATCGAAAAGTATGCCGCCAAGGCATAATCCCCAACCTGCTGCTCCGGCTTTCGATATGGAATAATTTGCTGCCATGTTCAAAGCCTTTCAAAATGTCCAAAATCCTCCCCATGATCCAAATCCTGCTCAGCAATGTCTGACATTGCTTGAAAAGTTCATGAAGCAGAAGCCTCTTACATTTATTGGTGAGCCAGATCCGGTAGCCACCGAGCAATGGTTAAAGAGCATCAAAAAGAAACTCCAAACTTTAAGAATTCCGCCGGAATACTGTGTTGATTTTGCAACCTATATGTTTGAAGGAAAAGTGTAGCAATGGCTAGAAAGTCAGGGGGAAGACTATGATATACCTAATCTTCCTTGGGATGAGTTTGATGCCCTGTTCAAAAGGACATTTATTCTTGAGAACCATCGACTGAGGATGATCAGAGAATTTGATGACTTGGTACAACGTGATATGACAGTAGCACAATATCATGCCCAGTTTATCGACTTATCCCATTACAATCCCGACGCAGTTGCAGACCCTATGGCTAGGTGTGAGAAATTCTGAAAGAACCTGAGGCCTAGACTTAGACAGATGATAGCCTCTACTACTTCAAACAATTTTCTTAAGCTGGTTGATGCGGCCAAGTGAGCAGAAGCTGAGCTCGATAGCACTTATGGAGAGTACAAAGGACCAGGAGGAAGCAGAAGGTAAAAAAAAAAAGGTAAAAAGGATAAGACACAGGGACAAGGTTCACAAAATAGTGGCACGAGTGGTAGTAGTAGCTCTTCAGGTAGCGAACGTTTCCAGCCTTACGCCTGCTATACCTGTGGGCAACCCAGACACCTTGAGCGAAATTGCCCAAATCGTCTGATGCAGTTGCCTTTGGCCCCTGGGGGACAACAGAGTAGTCAAACTGGTTCAACTTCAGGTAGTGGGAACCAAGCATCTTTTTAGAACCCGACTGCTTCCTATGCTTCTATCCCTCAACCCCGTGGTCTTCAGCCACATTATTACCTCCAGCCACGGCCACAGGGTTTAGGTTTTCAGCAGAGTCAGGAGGAAATGTTGGTGCAAGTAGCAGTCATGGGAATTGTGGTAGAGGACAAAAGAATAAGGGAAAGTCATAGGGTCAGGCTTATGCTGTCACATTAGCGGCAACCACTGGTCAGGGAAAACAGGCTGATCACTCCGTAGTTGATGGTACAATACTTGTCTCTCATTCTTGAGCTCAGGTGTTATTTGATACTGGTGCCATGCATTCTTTTATTTCCATGTTATTTGCTTCAGTTCTAAAATTAGGCGTTGATACGCATGATCCCCCTTTGACTCTTAGTACACCGATGGGAGGTATAGCTGAGGTATCTATGATTTATAGATCCTGTTGTATAGTCTTAGGCGATCATTGACTATCAGCTGACCTATTTGTGCTGCCAATGACTGGGTTTGACGTCATACTAGGTATGCATTGGTTAAGTAAGTATCGTGCTACAGTGGATTGTTACCGGAGATGTGTCACACTTTTTACTAAAAACGGGCAAGTCATAGACTATCAGGCTAAGACTGGAGCAGTGATGCCAGCACCTATTTTAAAAGCTTGCATTGGAGGTCAGAAGAATCTAGAGAGCTTGGGAATGGTTTTTGCATTAGAAGGAGAATATGAGGCAAATGATTCTTTGTATATACCGGTGGTGGATGATTTTCGAGATGTGTTCCCAAATGAGCTACCAGGGCTTCCACCGGACAGAGAGATTGAGTTTTGCATAGATTTAGTGTTTGGTACCTCTCCTATTTCTATTGCTCCATACCGCATGGCACCTGCTGAAAATGTCGAGTTAAGGAAGCAATTGCAAGAATTAATGGAGAACGGGTATATTCGTCCTAGTACATCACCGTGGGGAGCTCCTGTCCTTTTCACAAAGAAGCATGATAGGCCCTTAAGACTTTGCGTGGATTACCGTCAGCTCAACCGAGTCACCATCAAAAATAAGTATCCACTACCCCGCATTGACGAATTGTTTGATCAGTTAGGTGGATCCCGATATTTCTCCAATATTGATTTATGGTCAGGATATCATCAGTTGAAGGTAAGAGAGGAGGATGTTTCGAAGACGGCTTTTCGTACTCGTTACGGTCACTATGAGTTTCTTGTCATGCCATTCGGGTTTACCAATGCACCAGCCGCATTTATGGACCTCATGAACAGAGTTTTTTGTCTGTATTTACATCTCTTCATCATCATCTTCATCGATGACATCTTAATCTATTCCAAGACTCAAGAGGAACATGCAAAACATTTGAGAATTGCCTTACAGACTTTAAGGGAACATAGTCTATATGCTAAGAAAGAAAAGTATGATTTCTGGATGACTGAAGTGAAATTCCTTGGCATGTCGTTTCCCAAGAGGGCATATCAATTGATCCCTCCAAGGTAGAGGCTGTGTTGAACTAGGAGCGTCCGAAGAATGTGTTAGAGATTCGCAGTTTCCTTGGGTTAGCAGGCTATTATCGGCGATTTATGGAGAATTTCTCAACGATTGCATCGCCTTTGACAAGGTTAACAAGAAAGGACATTAGGTTTGTTTGGGATGAAGAATGTGAGGAAGTGTTCATGGAGCTGAAACATTGACTCACTAGCACTCTTGTTCTTATAGTCCCTAGCAGCAACGAGCCCTACACAGTGTTTACCGACACTTCTGGGAATGGATTGGGATGTGTGTTGATGTAGGAAGGTCGAGTGGTAGCTTATGCTTCACGACAGCTGAAACCTCATGAGGTGAATTACCCTACCCATGACTTAGAACTAGTTGCAGTGATCTTTGCACTCAAAATTTAGAGGAGTTATCTCTACGGTGCAAAATTTGAGATCTTTATTGACCACCAAAGCCTTAAGTACCTGTTCACTCAATGGGATTTGAATTTGAGACAACGAAGATGGATAGAGTATATGGAAGATTACGATTTCAATCGTCAGTACCACCCAAGAAAGGCTAATGTTGTAGCAGATGCTCTGAGTCGAAAAAGCCATGGAGTCTTGGCTAGTTTGGCATTTGAAGATTGGAATAGGTTAGCTACCAATGAGAGTTTCAATTTGCAGTGCTATGAGGACAGTTACAAGGCATGTGTCTTCAACATTGTAGCAACTCCTACCTTGATACAGCTAGTAAAGCAAGGGCAATGGCATGATGAAGAACTTGGTGAAGTTTGGAACCAGCTTCAGAGTGGGGAACAAATTGAGGGATGGCAGATAATTCTAGAGGGATTCCTCCTTCAGAAAGGGAAGCTTGTGGTTCCGAATGATCTTGATCTCCGAGATGCCGTGTTGTATGAGGCTCACTGTTCTAAGTTTTCCATTCACCCTGGGAGCACTAAAATGTACATGGACTTGAAAAGGCAAAACTGGTGGCGTGGAATGAAACGTGACATTGCCAATTTTGTGGCTAAATATGCAATATGTAAACAGGTCAAAGCGAATCATTAGAGACCTGGTGGCGACTTGCAACCCTTACCTATTCCTGATTGGAAGTGGGACCACGTGACAATGGATTTCGTCATGGGATTACGTAGAACCCAAGAGGGGTATGATGCTGTATGGGTTGTCATGGATCGCCTGACAAAGACTGCCCATTTCATTCCTTAATGCTTAATATTTTTGTATATAATAAATTTCCGCAAGCGTACGGTGTCAAGTTTTGAGTATAGGGTGAGTGAGTATCGTCTCCATAGGGATTGGGTTTAGAATTGCTGTTAAGTACCGCGATTATTATAACTTAACTTTATCTAGGCAACCTAGTAAAATGATGATTAAGAACAAAAACAAAATAAATATAAGAAAATAAAAATAAAGTATCTATACACAAATGGTCTAGGGACTTGATTTCGCTTTATTATTCCTATGTTCATCCTATTATGTAATCGCTAATCAATTCCGTTCAATTCATTAATCAAGGCTCTAATGTCACCTCACAACCTCTCTCAAGTGCCTCACAAGGAACTATATTTAAATACCCAAAACAATATCCCTATTCGAAATGAATATTTAAACACAAATTAAGCTTCGCCTTTAGAATTAGAAAGTAGAAATATTGATCACCTTTCGGCCTCACAACGACCTAAATCCTAATTTGATTATCTAACCGTTGATCTCTTCTCGGTCTCACAACGACCTAGACTATGTTTCTCAAATCTAGATAGAGAACTCAATCTCTCCCGAGTATCAAATTCGCAATCTAAAAATCATCTAATTCATTGGCCAAATAAATTAGAAGCATTAAACATAGAGAAACATAAATGAATTGAAAACGAAATTAAATTGACAATAAACAAAATATTCAAAACATAGTTCAAATAAAACTACATCAAGTCCTAGATATAATGTCTAGCTCAACATGGAAAAATAGATGAAAGAAGATAAAACCCAATCTTCATTGAAGAGCTTCCAAGGACTTCCAAGATGAAGGATTTCAGCCTCATTTTGATGTTTTCTTCAGCTTTCCGGGCTCTTTTTTCTCTAGTGGCATCTCTTTTCTTTTATACTACAACATTTCGGAGCTAGGGTTTCAAACGTGCACTGCAGCCTGCGTGAAAACGCGTTACAGCGCGTGTTTTTAGAGGAAGGATCTCACAGCTGGGGGCTGAGGCGCGCTGCAACGCGTGGGGACATATCTTGGGCGCGCTGCAGTGCCCGGGTCAGCTCTGGGCACGCGGGCGCGCACTTGGGTATGGGACGTGTGCCTAAACGTGGGGCGCGCGCCTGGTGGCCAGGGCGCAGGTGCGCAGGGGGCTAGAGCACAGGCGCGCACCCCATTCTGACTTCGCTTTCCTTTGCGCACTGTAGCCCGCTTTCTTGCATTCCAAAGCCTCCTCTTTTGTGCCTTAAAATCCTCTTTCGCCTCCTCTTGCCATTGATTCACAAGTTGGACAGATATTCTTCTTTTCTTCATGCAAAATCATCCAAGTTTGCATTTATTTCTAGTTTCTATAAAAAGCATACAAAGGACATTAAACTAACAAAAATGCTTGAAGACTTACAAATATTCAAGCTTAAAAGTACTTGATTTATTGGTAGAAATACCCCTCATCAAGGGGTATGATGCTTTATGGGTTTTCATGGATCGCCTGACGAAGACTGCCCATTTCATTCCTATGATAGCTGATTATAAGGTTCCCAAGCTGTGTCGATTGTACATTGAGAGGGTAGTCACGTTACACGGTGTCCCTATGTCTATTGTCTCTGACCGTGACGCTCGATTCACTTCCAAGTTTTGGAAAGGATTACAAAATGCTTTGGGAACTGAGTTGAGATTTAGCACCACTTTTCATCCTCAGTCTGATGGACAATCAGAGCAGGTCATACAGATTCTTGAAGATATGCTTCGTGCTTGTATTTTGGACTTTGGGGGCAGATGGGGTTAGTACCTACCAAATGCTGAATATGCCTATAATAACAGCTATCAAGCTAGCATTGGAATGGCTCCATTTGAGGCTCTATATGGTAGACCCTCCATATCTCCTTTATGTTGGACTAAGAAAGAAGAACGCATTAACCTTTGACATCAGTTTGTACGGGAAACGACAGATAGGGTTCAATTTTTTCATGATCGCCTCAAAGCTGCTCAGAGTCGACAAAAAAGTTGTGTAGATAACTAGAGATGACCGTTGGAGTTCGAGATTGGAGACTTTGTGTTCTTAAAAGTGACCCCAAAATGCGGTGTTTCTCGTTTTGGTATTCGAGGCAAGCTTGCACTGAGATACACAGGGCCATTTCAGATACTAGAGCGAATTAGACCAGTTGCATACCGCCTAGACCTGCCATCTCAATTGTCTCATGTCCATAATGTCTTCCACGTGTCGATGCTATGGAAGTACAAACTAGATCCGTCTCAGATAATAACATGGACAAATGTCCCGATCCAGGTAGACACGACTTACGAGGAGTTTCCTGTTTGGATTTTAGAACATGAGATTAAGACTCTGCGTCATCATGAGATTCCTTGGTAAAAGTCCTATGGCAGTATCATGCAAATGAGGAAGCTACTTGGGAGCTTAAGTTAGAGATGCAGAAAAAGTACCCTTATCTATTCTGAATACAGTTGTAATTGTAATTTTGAGGACAAAATTTCTTAAGGGGGATGAAGTTGTAAAATCCAAAATTTATTTGGGGTCAATTTGTAATTTTTAAAGACTTAAGTGTGAAAATTTTAAAAATTTGGGCCAGAATTTGAATTTAGAAGAAATATGGGGGTCAAAAAGAAAGATTTTGACAGTCAGCATGCCCAACCTATTATTTAGTGCCACTTAGGCGCGTCTCTCATCCAGAAAACCCTCACTTTCCCTCTCTCTCTTCATTTTCTCTCTCTTTCTCTCTCTCTTTCTCCACGCACGACCGACCAACCTCCGGTGAGATTCCGACATCTATTTTTGACACCTCCCAGCTCATTGTAGAGATGTCGTCGAGCTGAGTCCGGATTGGTGTCTTCCAGCCGCCAACTCCACCGGACGACGCCACACTCGCCGGCCAAAGTTCCAAAAAACACCCAAACATCCGATCATGATATCTTCACCATCCGGTGTCCGATCGAGGTGATTCTGGTCCCAATAGACTCAGATCGAAGAGACGAAGAAAACCATACCAGCAGCACGACTTGATTCTAACCGGAGTGCCACCGCCCGTGGTCGTCAGATTTCTTGCCGCCGTCGCCCTCGGATCTCCCTTCTCCGGCCACCGTGAACGACACCGCCCAGCCAGCCCATTAGCTTCAGAGGGAGCCGGTGAGTCATTCAGGACTACCAACTATGGCCACCATCGCTGCCTTTCCAGAAAATGAGCCGCTGCCACCGTGAGAAAAAATGGGAGGATGGTTTCGGTGATCTAGCCGTTGGATCCTCGTGATCTCGGTGTCAAAATGCTCAGAATCTCACGGGTAATGAAAGCCCTCAATCAATCTTGAAGATTCGTGGCTGAAAAATAAAGATTCAAGGCTCAAAATTTAGTTAGAATTGAGAATCTCGATCCGAGTTGTTAAAGGCCGAATTTGGTAAAATTGACACCGCCATTTGATTCAGAACCATCGATTTAGAGGGGTAGGTGTTGGTCTCCGAATCGAATTCGGATGCGGAAGCGTGGGGGGGAGGCGGATCGTGTATAACAAAAATTTTCAAGAAACCTTTGAGATACTCTATAGATTATATTAATTTATGCACGAATAAATGAATCTCATTAATTCATTTATTAAGAACTCAATTAGGAAAAATACCTGGAGGCCGACTCAGATGATAACTTGAGTTCTTTGACCTCGAACAATCCTTGCTCCAAAGTTTTATTTTTAGAAAACCAATGTCTTCCACGTCAATTCCTAGAATCCATAAAGACGTGTGTGTGGGCACACATGAGACAAAACGGGTTACAATAAACACTCGAATTTCCACAAACACCAACGCATGCACGATGTGGAATTTTTTGAAGAAAAATTTTTCCTTCTCTCTAAAGGGAATTTCGGCCACCTCTAAAATTAGGGTAAAAATCCATTCCGAAAATTGTCTCACTTCTAGAAGGAATCAAATCTCTATCTCCAATTTGAATTTCGAACTAAAATTCTCCTCTCTCTCTTCTTCTTATGGCTGGCCAACCCTAAGGGGATGTTATCCCTGTGTAGGCGCCAATATCAGATAGGGAAGGAAGAGAAAAATCATCCTTTATCCTGTAGTCTAATTTTGACTCAATTTCAAATTCCAATTTAAGTCAAACTTAAATTAATTTGAATTCTATACTGAACAACTTATCAAATAAGTTTAAATGGATAAATCTAGATGTGTTCAAATTCAAATTTAAATAATCACATTATTTAAATAATAATTAATTCTTAATTAATTATTTTCGAGTATTGAATTGTTAGAATTCCGTAATTCTAAAATTCTCATTTTGCCCTTTGTGTCTGGCAGAATTACTAGGATGACACGGGGACTAATGGACCTATAATCCTGAGCTCCAATAAAATTAATAATCAATTAAATACTTTAATTAATTAATTAATTCTATTAATTCCAATAGTTACTCCATTATAAACTTGGAATTGCACTCTCCTTTATCCTTGAGTACCATTGATTTTCTAATGGACAGTGATTCATAAAACACATTCATGAATTGGAGCTCCTACTGGTCCAAGTATCGAATCAACCCTCAAGAGAATTATTTATCTACTTCTTTCTCAAGAAGGAATGGATTCCATCTCGTATAATAACATTCCCGGCTACCTACTTCATCATATCTCCAAAATACAAGGAATATGATTCAGGATCTCAGAATCCGTACCGAGTAAATCAAAAGACACAAATCCATAAATAGGAGTCTGTTAAGAACTCAGGATTAAGATCATTCTATATATGACCATCGGTAGACTCAATTAGAATTTCTATGCTTAACGGAAATTATTAGAAATTCATATTGTGTCTGTGTCCTTTTTCCACATAATCTCATTTTGC